AGTTTTTGTCCCTTCTGGGGTACCTAGCTGTCTGTGTGCACTGAAGGAGCAGGAAAGTCCCTCCTTTGTGTTGGGTTGGGACTCCTTGAGTTTCCCTCCAGAACCATGGTATTGAAGCAGCAAGGCGGAAACCGCTCTGCATTCCTTGGCCATCTGCTGCCACCCAGCAAAACAGCCCCCCACTCACTGAGTTGGCTGTCTCCAGTGGGAGGCACAGAAGAGATGGCTTGAATTAAAAAATCTCCAAATACAATTTACAGGTTTTCCCTCTGGTGAAAATTGCCTCTCGCTGGGTGAGCGTCTGCTGGTGGAGCTGACTGGCGGGGGGCAGTGCTCTCTTCACACCAAACAGGAGAGAGTCTGATGAGATTCCACAGCCCACAGGGGGGCTGTAAATTGAAAGCTGGACTCCTTTGTTGCATAGAGAGTTTGCTAGCGAAGGAGACGGTGACCAGAGCCATCTTAAATATGCTCTTAATGCAGTTATGTGTGGTGTGTGTGTGTGAAAGTGCCACAGCATGCTCTCTGTAGTGGGCAGAGGGTACATTGAGTGATTACTGGACAATCTGGATGGAGATGGCCCCTGGCATTTTAAGCTTTCATTTAGAAAGAAAAATATTTAGCCCTTCCACTTGTGAAAGCATCAGTCCCAATGTCATCCCAATGCAATGTCACCTGTAGAGAGCCAGACTGAAACAAGAACTCTTAGAGAGGTGAGAACAGCTGCATTTGTCTCAATGGGTGTTAACTCTGAAACCTAACGGTGCCCGTTGCAATGTCAGCATGATGATAGATGTATCTGTGAAAGTGATCTACATCTGAGTGGGTTGTTGGTGGAGCCTGGAGCATGAGCAAAGAGTCCCCTTCAAGTCAATTCCATGTTCATGTCTGCACTGTGATAAAAGACTCACCGCACAGCTGTGGCAGGCCATAGTTAGCTGACCTGAGCTGCAGGGCTATTATATTGCTGAGTTAGATGTACAGGCTTAAGCTAGAGCCTGGGCTCTCAGACCCATCTCTGTTGCAGTCTCAGGAATTAGCCTGAACCCGAATATCTACCCTGCAATTGTGAGCCCTATAGCCTGAGCTGTGAGTCCAGCCAGGCTCTGAGACTCCGTGCCTTGAGTTTATTGCAGTGCAAACACCTCTCTTAGGCTCTTTAGGAACGTTGGCTGACAATAGAGGCTAGACAATAAAGTGTGTGTCACTAGTGCTGTGAGAGTAACCTGAGATTTTTAGTTTGGTCAGGGGTGGACTAAGGGGTGGGCTAGCCGGGCAGCTGCCCAGGGCGCCAACCTACGGGGGGCATCCGGCTCCCAGCGGGCTGCAGCAGCCGCCCGGGGTGGGGCCGTGTTAATCCCTGCAGCACCGGCCAGCAGTGCCCTTTCCCCCACGGCCGCAGGGCGATGCACAGCCAGGCGCAGCCCGCCCCGGGTGGCCCCAGACTGCACGCCATCGGCTGTGGCCGGGCCGACTGGGCAGTGCATGCGCCGTGCATCCGCCCACACACCCTGGGGGTGGGCCCGCGCATGTGCCGTGCGCCCCTCACCCCACACACACTCTTTATTTTAGGGCCACTAAAAACAAACACTTTCTGACTTTTTCAGAGAACCAAATAAGTAAAAACAGACACATAATTTTCAATCGCAGGAAATGTTTAAAGATGTTTTTACCTTTTTATTAACTTTAAAGTTTGGCTTTCTAACTTCTAAGTTAGGCTTTCTAATTCGAACTACCGGTACACCTCGTTCCACGAGGAGTAACGGTAGTTCGAATTAGAAAGCCTAATTCGAACTACCTACTCCGTGCCGCGTGTAGCCGCGGGCACGGAGTCCGCACTAACGGGGATTTAAAAATGGCGGCGTCCAGCAAGATGCAAATGAAGCCCGGGATATTTAAATCCAGGGCTTCATTTGCAACTTCGAATGACTACATTAACTACCCTAGTTCGAACTAGGGTGGTAGTGTAGACATCCCTTGGAGACTGGGAGTGGAGTATTTGGAGCATGTGTCTGTAGACCATGTCTCCAATCCAGCCCATGTAAGGAGATTGGACTTGGTCTCTCACTTGTGGGCTACAGGCTCCAACTCCATTCAAGGAATTAAATGGCTAACAAGATTGAGATGAGGACCTAGAGTCTTACACATCCTACATGATCAGGTCTAGTCTGGTTTAGGCTGACAGTGATTGAAAGTGTTTAATTGGAGTTCACGGATGTATATTTAGGGCAGGGATGGGCAAAATACGGCCCAGGGACCAGATCCGGCCCGCCAAGCCACTGGATCTAGCCCGCGGACCACCCTGCCAGGACCCTCAAGCACGCAGCTGCCACGGTTTAAAGCGCAGCCCCTGTGTTTCTCTGCTCTGCAGGCAGGGGCAGGCTTTGTGTGATCTCCTGCCCCCAGCCCAATCCTCAGCTACTCCTGGCTAGCAACAACCAGCCAGTAGAAACCGATCCTAGCCAATCTCTCCTATTGGCTGGAGACAACCAGCCAATGGGAATTGAAAGATTGGCCTGAGGGATGAGGGCAACCCAAGCCTCTCTTCCCCCTCCTGGAGCTGAGAGCCACATGGAGGGAACAGCCTGCAGTTTCAAGCGGTCAGGGGCTGCAGCAGGCAGGGAGCCCAGCCTGCCTTGGGGTACTGCAGGGCTGCTGGCTAGGAGACACTTAAGTTAAGTGCCTCTCAGCCAGAGCCTGCCTCTGACACACCTGCCCCTCTTCCACTGCATTCCCCTGCCCCAGATCACCTTCCAAATTCTCTGCACTCCCTTGCCCCAGGTCACAACTCCCTCCCAGACCCTGTACCCCCCCTACATCTTTCCCCCAAGGCCAGAATCCTCTCCTGCACCCAAACATCCTCCCAGATCCTGCACCCCATTCTCCTGCCCCAGGTCACCACCCAAACCCTCTGCAGTCTGCACCCCCTTTTCCCCTTCTCCCAGGACACAATTCCCTCCCAGACTTTGCACCCCCTCATAGAGCCCCTCCCCCTGGCCAGAATCCTCTCTTGTAGCCATACTCCCTCCCTGGCCCTACACCCTCATCCCCTGACCCTGGTCACAACCCCCTCCTTCACCCAAACTCTGTCTCAAACCTCACACCATCTCCTGCACCCCAGTCCCTTACCCCTTGCACCCTTTTGTACCCAACCTCCACACTAGACACCGCATCTCCTCCACAGAAAAGCGCGGCCCTTGACCACTTTCCAAAATCTCGTTGTGTGTCCTCCCAACAAAAATTATTGCCCACCCCTGGTGTAGGGTGTTGAGATGTTCTGGCCCTTTTTGTTGGTGTTGGCCATTCAGAAGCTATGAAGATGGAACACTCTCCTCCACGAAGAGGGGGAACTGCCCAGAGGTGACTCACATTGGCGGGGAAGCATGGGGAGCATGGGGAGCTTTGCTCTGGCGCTATCGGGGCCATTCTCGGTTGGAGGCCTGTAAGCATGGCATCCTTCCCCACAAATGCAGCCATCCTTCGAAGGTCTTCCTCGTGCTACGCCAGAGGGATGTTACCTTGACAAACAGGCTCTTTTTGTCATCTTCTCTCTAGTGCCTCCAACCATCAGTGTCCCCAAGGGCCAGTCCACCATCACCGTGCGGGAGGGCTCCAGGGCCGAGCTGCAGTGCGAGGTTCGAGGGAAGCCTAAGCCTCCCATCATCTGGTCCCGGGTAGACAAGGAGGCCCCCATGCCCTCTGGCGCCATGACAGTGGAGACATATGACGGGAAGCTGCGCCTGGAGAGCGTTAGTCGAGAAATGAGCGGGACCTATAAGTGTCAAACTGCCAGGTACAATGGCTTTAACATCAGACCCCGGGAAGCCCTGGTACAGCTCAACGTACAGTGTGAGTATAACAGCGTGATCCTGTAGCCCCTACCTTTGGGCCGGCATGCACTAGTGTCTTGCTAAAGTCTGGGTAGGGGTTGCTTAAGGTGCAGCTGTCAAAGTGAGTTGACATCTCTTAGTGGGATTGGGCGTGGTTCATCTTGTGGACTTCAAAGAGTTTGTTTAACTCATGCCTGCCTAAGAGAAGACGTGCCAGCCAATCGATAACATATTCCAACCAGCTGTGGGGGCCTGTTAATCCACTGTTGTCGGGATCACCTCAGTTGTTGGCAGAGCAGTTGCCTGTATTTGTGTGTGTACCTATGTTACACACATGCATTACATTAAAAGGGTAGCAAGACAAGCACTCCGAAGCTAGGAAATGTCAGAATTAATGTCTGTTCAAGAATCAAAGTTGTCTTGTGCATCTGTGTTATGCTGCAGTCTTTAATTACAGGGTCACATATTATTTTTTCTATTGGACCCTTCTTCTCCACTGAGGATGGGCCTGCTCTGGGATGAATCAGGAAACTGTTGCAGATAAGAGCCCTACCTCCTTTTGGGCTGAAGTTGGAAGATGTGTAGTGAACGAGGCAGGGGACTGCAGGAAGAGAAAGGATGGTCTCATAGTTAACACAGTTGAATGTTGCCCCAGAGAGCCGGACTTTTTCACTGTCTGTGCCACAGAGTTCCCTTGTGTTGATAGTCAAGTCACTTAAGCCAGACTTTTCAGAGGTGGTCACCAACTGCTTGTGCCTCATTTTCCAAGTGCTTGACTTGACATCTTGGGGTATGTCTACACTATGCGCATATTTCAAAATAAGCTATTTTGGAATATTAACTCCCGAAATAACTATTTTGAGATAGCGGGTCCACTCTACATATGCCCATCGAAATAGCACAGAATTATGTAGAAGTAAAGCATCCGCGCTGATTGGAGCCTGAATTGCATTGAAAGCCCCCCGGAAGCTTTTCAGGACAGCAATCACTTCCTGGAGCTACTGCCTGAGGCTGTCTGGCTCCTACTTAAGGGGCTATCCTCTACGGCCGTGTCTCTCACTCTTCACCTTTGCCTACCTCCTTGAGGGACGGCAAACCCTTCATACTGCGTGTTTTGATTGCCCTTGCCGACACCACAGCACTCCTGCCATGGAGCGGCCCTGCTGCAAAGCACTCACCAGCTCTTAGCCCTCATGCTGCACCTCCTGGCACAGTTATTGCAGGCTGCCCATGTGGCACTGCAAGACCAGGAGCAGCAGCTCACTCTGGGGCATCTCCGCACCCCAATCCATGTGCTGCTCATGCAGCACAGCCCCTCCCACCCTCCCCTGCACACCGTGCAGCGCCGCTTCTGGTGCTGGGACACCAGTACCGACTCGTGGGATCAGATCGTCATGGAGCAGTGGGACGACCAGGTGTGGCTCCAGAACTTCCACATGCAGAAGGACCCCTTCATGGAGCTGTGCGAGTGGCTCGCCTCTGCCCTCAGGCAATGGGACACCTGCATGCGACCTGCTATCCCCCTCCAGAAGTGTGATGCCATCGCTATTTGGAAGCTCGCCACACCAGACAGCTACCACTCTGTCGGGAACCAGTTTGGCGTGGGGAGATTGACCATCAGGGCTGTGCTCATGCAGGTATCATCCTCTTTCTGTTGTCCCAGGAGTTTGGTGAAGCACTGGAATGGGGTTCCCTTGAGAAGGGGGGGATGGACTCCCACCTTCAGAAAGCCCTGCCAGGGATGGGGTAGGTGGGAATGCTCCTTCTGTGGGAAAGGGCTTGGGCTTAGGGAATTCCCAAGGGCTCTGGCAACCCTGTGATTCTCTGTTTGTATCCTCTCATAGGTGACAAGGGCCATCAACGCCACCCTACTGTGCAGGGTTATCATCCTGGGCGACACCGACCTCATCATCGCTGGCTTTGCTGCCACGGGCTTATTCAACTGCAGCCATTGATGACATCCATATTCCCATCCAGGCCCCTGACCACCGGACCTCCAATTACAGCAGCTGGATAGGGTACTTTTCTATGGTGCTGTAGGCCCTTGTGGACCACTGAGCCTGCTTCACGTACATTAACGTAGAATGATTGGGGAATGTGCATGATGCCGTGTCTTCAGGAACTCCAGCCTGTTCCAGAGGATGCACACCGGCACCTTTTTCTCCAACCACACCATCAGGATTGGGAATGAGGACGATGCAGCCTACCGCTTGCTCCCCTGGCTGATGAAGCCCTAGACGGGATACCTGGATCCCACCAAGGAGAGGTTCAACCCAGGCTCAGAAGTGCCCTCAGTGGTGGGCACCTTCGGCCGTTTGAAAGGGAGATTCTGACGTCTCCTCACCTGCCTGGATTTCAGCGAGCGGGACATACCCCAGGTGGTGGCAGCCTGCTGTGTCCTGCACAACCTGTGCAAGAACAAGGGGGAGACGTTCCTGACAGGGAAGGGGGCAGAGGCTGAGCAGCTCACCCAGGCCTTTGAGCAGCAGCGCACCACTGCCATCCGGCAAGTCCATCAGAGAGAGGGCTGTGCTCATCTGGGAGGCTCTGAGGGAGCATTTCAGACAAGGCCAGCTGTGACACTCTCCCCTGGGCCTCCCCACAAGGGGCCTCTACATTGCCCCTCTGTGTCTTTCCTCCTCCACTCCTCCCTTCCCACCTTCTGCCCCTCCCCCCACTGCCCGCAGATACAATACACCAGACTTTTGGGTCTGAAACAAGAAACTGTCTGTTTTTTTAATTTGGGGGTAAATATAACTGGAGAGGGACTGGGGAAAGAACCTGGGAGGAAAAGGAAGGGAAAGAACAGGGGAGGAGAGGCTTGGGAATGGGGTTGGGATTCGCACCTCCCTCGGGTGGTCCCACTGCCACATGTGCAGGGCCCAGGGCTAGGAGGAGAAGCTGGCGGGGGAGGGGAAGGGGCAGGAGTGGGATGTGGAGGGGCAGCTGCTGGACCTCTCAATAGCAGCAAGCTGGCGGTTGACAGCACCAATGTCTGCCACACACATACTGCAGTGCTGCAGGGACAGCTCCTGCCAGATGGTGCGGCGCCACCTCAACACACCTCTGCTTCTGCCACTCAAGACACCACTGCAGGGCACGCAGGCAGGCAATGTGTTCCTGTTCCAGGTCCTTGCGGGGTCTGTGGCAGCGGCTCTCGCGGGATCCGGAGGATGGTGCGGGAGGTGGTGGATGCACCTCACTTGTAGTTGGGCCAGCTGTGAAGTAAAGTGACAAGGGAAGTCATCCCAGGAGACACTGCGTGAAGCCCAGCCCTCATCTCTGAGGTCTCAGTTCAGATGATGGCAATGTGCTTCAAGCACGGCCATCTGTGGCCTAGACAATGGGCACAGTCCTGTAGGGGCACAGATGTCCTGGGGAGCGTCGCTACCCTCACGCTCCAGGGACAAGCAGGCTTGGAAATGTGCAGGCCAGACCAGGAGCCTTCAGGCAAGAGGGGGGCAATGGGGCATTTTGCCTTCCCTCCAGGCCGTGCACATGCTGGGTCTGGCAGTGGCATTGTCCCCAGGGAGAGGACGTCTAGGCACCTCTTGCTGAGACGGGTGTGTTGAGGGGCAGGTCCCCTCGACGGTCCGGAAGTTCCCAAAGTTTGTGTCTGTGCTCCCTTTTCGCAGGGAACGTCTCGTAGGCTGAGTTCCTAGCAAATGACCCTTTATCAGAGTATATACGGCCCAGAGGCCTGGTTCAAAGCACAGTTCCCTCTATCCGGATATATACGGCCTGGAGGCTTAGTCATACACACAATTCCCCCTGGCAGGGTATATTTGGCTCAGAGGCCTAGTCCAAAGTATTCCGCTGCCTGCTCAGCAGGGGTGCCTGCCGAAACACACCGAGCTCCTGGAGGACAAGCCTCTGCCCTGGGCTGCTTCCTACCATTCCCGGTGTGCTGCTCAGCTCTCGGGGTGTTGCTCAGCAGGTTTACAGGGTTCTTGTGCAAAAGGGGTTTTTTGGGGCAAAAAATGGCCCATCTACACTACATTTTTTTGCACAAAATCCTCTTCCGCAAAAAGGATCGGAA